TACGTAGTACGTAGTACTATACTAGTAGTATATTATAATATATATATATATATATATATATAGTATAGTAGAGTAGAGAGAGAGAGAGAGAGAGAAGAGAGAGAGAGAGGTCTACAGTTTCATAACTTAGGAATTATACTTACAGATGCATTCGGTCTGGATTCAACAATCTCCACATTGTTATAGTGAAAGGAAGCTGAGATTGCAGCTTGCTGTAGAAGAACAGAGCCTATTGATAGAGTTGGGGCAATGAGGCATCCCTGAAACAAACCCAAGTAATGGGCGTTGCTTTACCGGTTATTGGAGAGAAGGTGAACAAATGGAAACATGAATTTTACAGTGTTTGGTTGAGAGAATTAATGGAGAAGCTCACCCAAGCTCACCATGCTGGCCTTCTCACAAAATGCAGAGAGTGCAGCTACTGTATCCAACTTCATTCCAGGCACATAAACAACGCTTCTCATGCCAAAGGCCGTAGCCTGGAGAGAGAGTCAAAAGTAAGCTGTATTTCTTCTGAAGGAAGAAACAATACAGAAGGAGATGGAGGATTACAGACAGTAGCATGTCGTAAAACATATTGGATTAGCATTCTTCAGCATATGTTGCAGAGATAACTAGCACAGAGGATGAATACTTCAAAGAAAATTTTGGTTGGTTTAAAGTTTCATGCTTAGATAGAATTGCACAACTCTTGATTTGAAAGCATTCTGATATAGACTGCGAAATAAGCACTCATTAAAAGAGAGTTTATTTTGTTCTCAAAAATAAAATCACTTCTCCGTAACAGTAAATCTACAGAAGCCACAACCTGGCAGACATTCATCTTAGACCCCTTTTTCAAGCACTAGCTCAGATCAGATGAGGTAATGAATTTATATAAGATAGCCCCATTTACTGAGTTGGACTTGCTTGAGTCACTCGGAACCAACACCCTGCAGGTTTTTTTATCATCCTGCCCGTTTTGGATGACCACGACACCTGTAACCAAGGGACTTGACCGATTCTGCCCAGGTCGGTACAAAAAATAATAATTATAGTCCAAGTCTCGACCGGTCAGAATCGAGATCAACGTGCCAACTCACACCTGCCCCTTGAGCGATTCTGTATTTAAAAAACACTGCTAAAACCACCAGAGAGAGCCCTTGTCCGATCTGTGTTTTTGAACTTTGCTAAACGCTATCAGAAAGAGCCCTTTTTCGATTTCATATTTTTAAATTGTTAAAACCAATCAGGGAGAGAGAGAGAGAGAGACCAACCAACCTGTTTCACATTGTCATAGACAGTTGAAGGTTCAGTGAAATCTACTACGACGCCGGTTGCTTGTGACTGCATGTGAGATTCAAAGATAAAACATATTAAGCATCAACAATTGGCAAGAGAAACTGACATAAACAAGGATGAAGGGCAATAAATAAGGGGAAAAAACTGAGTAAAAACACTAACCTGAGATATAGAACCCAAAACCATAGTTAAATCACTAAGTATAGGAATCTCCAGAGGCTCCTCCATGCCAGATACCTGATCAGAATCATAATATCAGTAACATCAATTCGAAAGTGACAAAGAAAATGAAGATTAAATTCTATATTCATTTCGACACAATGATAATGGTAGTTGTCGTGGTAGCGGTTGTAGTGGTGATAGTAGTAGCATTGATACAATAGCAACAGTAGCAGCAGCCAGCAATATAGTAGTACTAGAGATGGTCTACAAGAGAGCATTTATCTCTTGTACATGGAGGTCATAATCATTCTCACTCATTAGATGTTAAATTAGATGGTTTGGAGTGGATCATGAAATCCAAAAATATTATTTTTGAAACTCGGTAGACAATCCCAATACTAAGCATAGGAGTTGGACAAGTAGTTGCACTGGTAGTGAAAATATGGTCATACTAGACGTAGTAGTCACTACCAAATGACACATCCGTCGCATGAACCTTTAATTTATGAAATTCATAAATGAATTTTGAATTTTTTTGCTGCATCTTTACTGATTAAGTCATTTTATTTAAAATCAGACTTTCCAAATATTCTTAAACTAATATATAACATTTCTTTACATCTAGATTTGGTTTTAGAAATAATAAATTTAAAATAGAGATTTGAAATTTAAGGAAAGACACGAGACAGAAGTCCTACTTTTCATGCAATTTTGAAAGACAGAATCTTGGAACTAATTGGAATTAGATATGGATATAGGCTTATTGGGTTGTCTTCATAGAGCGATTGTAGTTGAATGTGAGGATAGAGATGGTCTAAGATTTATAAAGTTATTCATTCTCCTCAAGAGATTTATGGAAAATTAAAGACAAATAAAGAGTAAAAAATCAGTTTCCTACTTACTCCCTTTAGTAATATCAATGTTTTGGAAATCACCTCCTAGGCCGGTAACTTGGCCAAGTCCGACTGAACTCAGCCAAGTTATTGGGGCGTGGGTACCCAACTCGCCCCTAACTTGCCTCACCGAGTTCCATATCGGTGAGTAATAATAAATATTAGAAGATACTACATGTCGGTAGTCATTGTTTGAAAACTCAACGAATCCGAATCGGACACACTAGAGTTACTCATACTCCATAAGCTGCCGACTCTGAAACCAAAACCATGAGAACCGGCCGTCGGTTCAGGCAAGTTTTTGTTAATCGTTTTAGAAGTCACCCAAGTCTCCATCAGACTCGGACGAGTCAAGTTGCCTCGGTTTGGCTTGGGACCCTAGCGAGCCCTGACCCAAGTCATTGCTTTAAAGCACTGGTAGTAGTAGTAGTAACCTTTCCAGCATCTTGTCCTATGAGAACGGTATCAACTGCACCAGCCACCTCCATTCCTCGGGCTTTGGTCACTGCAACTATTGCAGCCTTGCCAATTTCCTTTGTTGCACCATTGATGATCACCTAAGCAAAAATAGAAAACAAAAACTTCAAAGTAAAAATCAACAACAACCGAAAAAACCCAAGAAATATGTAGAAAAAAGAGGGAGAATGACCACCTATTTATAAATAACTACACAAATGACCATAAATACTTTAAAAAGCCAATAAAATATTTAACATGTGAGTTACTCATGAATTGGGAACTAAAATAATGTGCATAGGAATTGGAGAAAAAATCCAAGAAAAAACGGTCCAAATATTGGGTTGCATTTAGTCTTATGTGAATTAGAAAAATTAATTCACAAAAAAAAAAAAAAAAAGGGAGAAAATTTAGTATTTCAACCACCTAAAAATTGAATACAAAAGAAATAAATTTGCCAAAATAGAAAGCAGAAATAACATTAGTATGATATGAAGAATAAAGAAAAAGAAATTAAAAGATCACGACTAAGAGCAATAAAATTAGAAAATACAAGAGGGAAAAAATCCAATATCTATAACAGGAAAAAAACCCAAAACCATAAGCTAAGCATCAGAGACAAGAGTAGTTGTCATCAAAATGAAAAAAAAATAAAAACATCAGAGAAAATATAGTAACCATAAATATTCAAAAAATAGATGAAATACATGGAAAAGATTAACTATACGAAAAAAAGAAAAATTCAGATTCACAAAATGTAAAAACCCATAAAAAATGTTTTTTTTTTTTTTGATCGATAACTTACTGAACCCATCAAAGATTTAATGAATATTTGGCTTAATATCTGGAATTTCAGCATAAAAATGCAACTTGGGTACCTTGATATTGTTGGATTTGGGAGTTTGGATTGAGCATTGGACCAGAGAATTGCTTATTTTATGGGTTCGAATTTGTAAAGGGATACAAGAAGCCGCCATTGCAATATGTGCAAAGCTTACAGTGACTGTGAAGTGTGAAGTAGTTTGATAAGATAAGTAGGACTACCCAAAAACTGTCCATATCTATCTTCTCAAAGACGGTTTTACCCATACTGTTTTGTAATAGGGAAAGGAGAAGGAATTGATATAAAACACATCCTGTGAATGTCACGCCATATGTCGTCTTCACCCTTTGATTTACAACAGTGGACGGTAGAGATGAATGAGTGCATTTACTATACTCCTGTGTGAGGAGACTTAGGAATATTTTTTATTCTAAAATTTTGGAAACTATTTAAAAATCATCATATTGAAAAATCATTATATTTAGAACAGGCTTGTGGCCTTCCAACCCCAGGATACTTTCATCATTTGGCATGCCCTACTTAACTGGGGCCAAATTACCAAATGCTTCTAGTTCCAAGTTCCCAATTTTGAATAGGGACCATATGGTTAATTGTCACCATAATTTTAAGAAGGTATACGAGTGAAATGGAATTTTTAAAATAATAATTTTAATATTAAATGGGATGATTTGATCACCTTAATAATTTTATAAAGTGATTTAACTATTTAATTAATATTTTTCAGAAAAAATACGGCTTCAAAAAGTAATCCAATCATTTCCTCTAAATGACTAACTCTTGATTTTAAGCACATGAGATTTAAGAGCTGAAAAGCTTTTGTTTGTTTCTTCTCGATTTTTTATATGGCGAATTAAAAATGATTTGAAATTTTTCGCATTAGAAAAAACATAGATCGTCTATAAATAAACCATTTATCTTTTGTACATGTAGGTCACTAACATTCCCACTCGTTAAATATCAAATTGGATGGTTTGGGAAGAGCCACGAAATCTAAGAAATTTTATTTTGGAACTTTGTGTCTATTCAATGACACTTTTAAAACTACCAATTTTGAAACTTAACAGAGAAAAATAATTGTGATCTCCATATACAAAAGATAAATGGACTCTTTCAAACCAGTTATTTGGTAGCGGATATAGACTTCGAAGATAATCAATTTTAAAAAATCTATAAGGCGTGTTCGTTTACTGGAAGCTGTGACTTGCATTACTATTGCATTTCCGACATTTGTTTGTGGGAAGTGCAATGTTAATTTGAAAGTCATAGCTTCTTGCAGTTAATTTGAAAGTCACATCTTCCGAATCAACATAAAAAAGATCTTATTTGGGAAACGCGTGGCTTCCATCAATTGCCACAGAAGCCACGGTTTCCAAAGTGCATGGAATACATGGACAAGGCTTTGGCAGCCCCCTCTTCCATGAAACAAATGCCCCCTTGGTTCCTATGCACCTTGGGATAGGATATGGAAAAATTTAGAAAAACTATATGTTCTCATGCATACATGAACCCTCTGGAAAAGCTTCATCTTGGAGAATTTTTAAAACCCCAAATTTTAGGATATTCAAAAAAAGAAAGAAAAAAAGGACATAAGCCTAGTATACTTGTCTTAAGGATAAATGGAGGGAAAAGTATATAATGAGACAATTTACCTTAGTAAAAGGTGGTCACAATTAATCTTGATCATTGGATATAAAATTGGGTAGATGCATTTATTGTATTGACCAAACTCAAAGTTCTAAAGAAATTTTCTTGTACTTTATTAAACAATCAAGCGATTAGATTTTACATCAGATGGTTATAATTAATTTTCACCTCCTAGTATGAAAAGTAAATGGTCTCATTCTATGCAATCCTTAAGGGCGCGTTTGTTTTTCTGAATGATTTCTTTCAAATTTTTTCAAAGTTCCACGTTTGACATGCGGTTTCCATCTAAAAGTTCATAAAATAATCTGCCAACAAAGTTCACATGCATTTGTTAAAACATAAAAGAGTAATTTCTTAAGGTGGTAGGAATATAATATTTCATAACATTTTTGTTCATCACTATTCACTATGCATAATATAAATGCTGGAAAAAGTTTATATAAGGTTTCAACCTTAAAATGTAGAATTATAGATGCACTTTAAAAATCCATTGGAAAAAGTTGTTTTAATGTTGAAAAAAACAACTAGTTGATCATATCGACATCAAGATGTATGAAAATGAAGAAAAGAAAAAAAGATTTTGAGTCCCAAAAATACTGCATCTTGCAATACATTATCTAGACTGTCCATTGTCAAGATTTTTATATGATTATAAATTTAAAATTTTATAATTGGATATGAAAATAGAGATAATCATAAGAATTTTTTTTCACCAAAATTATATTTTATGATAAAATTTGGAAGTGCGCCTTAATTGAATTGTTTAAAGTTGCAACCTTATCGAAACCACACCCATACATAATATTAGTATTATTAATATCAATATATATAATATATAACTATCTTATATTGAACTATATATTGTATATAATATATATTTATTATATGAAATATTATAATATATATACATATTATAATATATAAATATAATGTATATTTATCATATTAAATATAAATATCTTATATTATATTACAATAAATATTATCTTATATATTATATAATACAAATATATTTTATTAAAATATATAAAATACATTATATTATATACTATATTATATTATATATTTATATTTATGGTGTTAATATATTATATTATAATATACTTTAACAAAACATTCAACTCTCTAAAAGATATATTTAAAAAAAAATAAACGCGCCTTAAATATAATTATCGTTTTTAGACAATCAAATCTAAATATTTAAAAACTCAAAGTTTATTTTCTTCCAAAACATACTTCTCTGAGCTTTAAAGTGCGATTTAAAATTTCAAATCACAGAGATATTATAGGTATTTTACCCAAGAAAGAGTTTTCTGGCTACATAGATCACAAATTGAGGGTCAAACACTGCGGCAAAGGTGCAAGGTTTTATGGCACATTTTATATGCGACATAAATTAAGGTGGAAGATATAAGTTTCTAGGAATAATCAGGTGTAAGGTGTAACCAATAAATTGTTGAGTGAATCTCCACCGTCGATTTTCGTTAACGCTCAATTCGATGCACGGTGGTCAAAAGTCATTGGTAGGGCTGCGGGTCTATAACAATGCATATGAACTATCACATGAAAATGCAATTCCAACATTGAAAAGTATGCAAATTGCTCATCTCCACCTCAATAATTATGGATTCATAAAACATAAATTTCAACCTAAAAGTAGTCCATCTTACAACAAATTTTACAGACCTCCCACTTCAAGTGTTTACAGATCTACTTGGTCCATCTTGCAGCATATTTTATGAAAATTTCACTTCAAGCCATCCATACATATAGCTTGTTTATCTTACAACACATTTTTATAGACCTTCTATTTCAAGTCTTCATGGATCCGCTAGACCTGTATAATTTATAGAGCTTTAGATTTCATAGTCAAACACAAAAATACTCATTTGCAAGCCATCATAAAGGGCTTTTTATTTTTATTTTATTTTTTTTTGCAAAAAAAATGAATCCCATGGTGGAAAATAGATGCGCAAGGCATCAAAATAGTTTTTTGTGCCAAAACTATGTTCCCCCCCTTAGGTTTTAGAGGCCCAACTTTACCAATTTTCATAAAACAACGGCCCAAAGAAAATTCGTACTAATACAAGTGGGAAAAGCTTGTGACCCCACCACCTTTACTTAGATCTCTACATGCACTTCGATTTATAAATGGAGGTGTGTGCGGTGCATGCAAAATTGCATTGATGCATTTTAGTAGGACCAGCAATGGGCCATGCGGCCCGGCCGGTCAGTTAAAACGAGCCCCTCACCGTGCTATTAGAATCGGACCGGAGTTTTTAAAACCGATTCAATCACTAGTGGAATCAATTGGATGGGTTTTATAAAAGAGGGAAGAAAATATATAAATAATTTAAAAATATAAAAGATATTAAAAAAAAATTGCCCTACTTCATTTAGTTGATCGAACCTATTTAAATTGACTGGTTTGACCATAAAAAACTGATCAGATATTGGTTTTGACTGATTTTTTATTAAGCTCAATATTTACCTTTTACCAGACCAATCAGAATACTAGTCATCGATCCAACCCTTTGGATTACTGGTTCAATGCAGTGTTGACCTAATCAACAAAATGAAGCCAAAGGCCAGGGCATTTAGATCTCTACTTTCATTAATATTTGTTAATTAAAAGAAAACGTTTATATAAGGTTGCAACTTCTTTTCTTTTTTTTTTACAGGAGATGTAAGGTTGCCACCTTAAAATGTAGAATTAAGGTGCACATCAAAAGTCCATCATAAAAGGTTGTTTTGATATTGGAAAACCATCTAATTGATCATCTCGACATCGAGATATATGAATCGGAAAAGAAAAAAAACATTTTGAGTCCTAAAAATAATGTATCTTACAACACATTATCTGGACCGTCAATTTTCTAGATTTTCAAGTGTTTCTAGATCTACGTGATTTGAACCATTTTTAGAGTTTAAAATTTTATAATTAGAGATGGAAATAGATACTTAAGTCATCCTAAAAAAAATTTATACTAAAATTATGTTTATGACAAGATTTGGAGGTGCGCCTTAATTTGATTGGTTAAGTCTGCAACCTTATACAAACAACACCCTTAACTAAATTGTACAAACATAGTGCAAAAAGTAAAAAGTTCGTAAAAGAATGGGTGAAGCATAAGTCACATGTAGGGGAGTAAAACTCTAATAAAACTATACATCACGAGAAAAAAAAAGACAAATAAATGTGGACTTTTACGAGGTCTACTTTCAATGCTTTTATTCTTTCACTTGAATTCTAATGCTTGTGAAGGAAGTTGATGAACAAATTTAAAAGATTATGTGCTCCTGGGAGTGTATTGTCCATTATTGACTCTCTTAAGTAAAATTTTTATTTTGAAGTATTTTTAGGACTCTAAAATTTGGGGACGTAACATTTTCAACCGATCAACATACCTCGAAAAATAAATAAATTGACATGTATACCATGCTCCTCGGGAAGTATACACAAGATACTTACTCCCTCAGGTGGAAAAAAAATTGATCTAAATTTTGGGAGCTATCTAAAAATCACGAGATTGTTAGTTTCAAAAAAAAAAAATTGGGTTTTGAGTTTTCTAACACATAAATTTTATCCTTCAATTTTGGACAGACTCTATTCAATCTTAGACATTATATTTTTCTGAGCCTACGTAGAGTGAGGTTTAGATTTTTTTTTTTTTTTGAGATTAGCATATGGGTTCAAAATGTTAGATCCACAAAATTTGAAAACCTAAAATTACACCTAGATTGGGTTTTACTCGAGGGAGTAAATAGACAGTATAATCATGTGGAGGCACGAAATCTTTTGCCAAAATAAATAAATAAGTAAAATATATACATTCTACATGTGCTTGAAAAAAAAAGACCTAATATTGAAGAAATTTTTTCCCACTTTTTAACAATTAGGATCTTTGTCTTTAAGAATTCAAAGTCCAGTTTCGTACTGATCTATATGTTTAAAGTGGATCCCAATAAAGTTCTTAAAAGTAAAATGGTTTGATAGGGCTGCAGCCGTATCAAAATAAACCATTGAAGATTGTAATTCAAGTGTTAGAAAACCTTTATATCGATCATTTTAGCTTAAACATTATGATTGTGAAGAAAAATTAGGATTTCAAGCTTTAAAAACAGTTTATATTGTAACAAATTATCTAGATCGTCCATTTCACCCAAAAAATAAGAGTTCATAGATCCACGAGATCTGGACATTTTTTTAGTTTCAAAATTTATTTTCAGTATTGAAAATTAATTTTAGAAATCTCATTGTGATTTTTGTTGTTAAGAGTGCTTTTCGAACAAGGATTTGAGATAAGGCTTGACTTTGTTTTCACAAAGCCTCGGCTTTATAAAACCTTCGTCCTTCCTAAAAATGCTCTTGTCCGAGGGGAATAGTGTGTATAGTGTTGCCGTGGGGGTCTGCTATATACTCGCAAATAAAAATGAAAAGTGAGAGCTCTAGACAATAGAATTTTTGTAAAAGGGTGGACCAAATTTTGAACCCATACCCGGGGCCAGGTTGGGTCTACATGTTGGATTTTGGATCGCGTTCGGGTCTACTGCTACCCTAAGCAATGGGCCAAGCAGCTTGACTCGGAGCAGCCAAGGTCTTGGCTACTAAATTTGACTTGGCCTAAAACCTCTGCCCAGTAGCCGGACCAAGTTGGACCTAACCTGGGGCCATGGCTCAGTAGGCCCTCTCCAGACCCCTTGTTTTTGTTTTTTTTAGTATGTATCTGAAGTTTTGAACAGGATATATTTTTATTTGTAGTAGGCCTTACTTAGCTCAAACCATTAACATGGCTCGGTTGAGCATGTAACACCCCCATACCTAGTTACCACGTTATGGTTTTCAATCTTGTTGACACCACCGACTAGCACTTTCCAAAAAGCTAATTCCTTAATCAATATGAAAAAATGGGTAGGGAATTGTCTTCTCCACTGAATTACCCAGAAAAAATAATAATAGGAAGAAGAACATGGCCTCATAACCGAAAACCAAAGTCAAGCCTGGTCTGAACTAGGCCTACAGGGTACAGAGCCGGGCTAGCCCGGACCCAAGCCCAGCCAATTGCCACCATTATTGTGACCCTGGCCCTCGAAAGAGAGGGAGAACTCATGGCCATGGCCATGGCCATGGCCTGGATGAGAGGGAGAGAGAGGTTTGGACCAGCATAGTCATGGCCAGGCTGTGCAGCTGGTGGCCCTCCAAATAAATGTTGAAAAAGGCTCACCATCGTTCTTTGACTTCATATTTGTATTATAACATTTCTAGGAGTTCTCCTCTAAAGCACGTGCCGGGACCTCTATTGGTGGGAAGAGAAGAAGACAAAAAGCAAACCGCTTTTAAATTGTTTGAAACATTCAAAGAGAAAGAGAAATGTCATTAGAGAGAGAGAGAGAGATTATAATCAAGAGTAGAGAGAGAGAGAGGGCAAGTGTTACAGCATGTCTCCAGGGCATGACACAGTTAACGGAATCAAATAGTCAACCGAAGGTGCCTTAATATGGTTAATAACTGAAATATAAAAAGGGTACGGTTTGTATAAGGCCGAGGCCCTAAACAATCAAAGTAGGGCACACCTTTAAATATTGTCGAAATATGTTGTTTCAGTATCAAAAATCTTTATGATGGCCTGAAAATTTATTTTTGTCTCTAATTATAAAATTTAAAATTTAAAAATAAAATCGATTGAGTAGATATACAAACACTTGAAAATATTGAAAATTGACAATCTAAATAATAATGCACTATTTTAAATCTATTTTTTCTCATGTCGATACTTCTTGAGGTGAAGACGATCAAATTGAAGGTTTTTCATCATCAAAATAATCTTTTCTAATGAATTTTTGAGAGGCGCCTTACTTTGCTTGTTTAGGGCATGGGTAATCAATTTTTGAGAGGCGCCTTACTTTGCTTGTTTAGGGCATGTGTGACCGCATGTCTCCAGGGCAAGACCCAGATGAAACCAACCTTCCTTTAGAGGAATCAAATAGTAAACCCAAAAATTATTTTAATGCCTTAAATGGGTTAATGACTATAATATACAATCCCATCCAATGGGATGCAAAGACTCGACCATGAGTCATTTTTTACTTTTTCAATTTTTGAAATAGGAAAAGGTGTAGCAATTTGCAAGCTTCTTTAATATGATTTTATTTTCTTTATTTGAAGGTTAGGTACTACAAATGGTCTATACAACTACCATGAAATTTCAGGTTCCTGGAATAATGAGGAGACACTTAAATTAAGAAACTCAACAGATTGGTGAACCCGAATAGTAGTTTTTAATTGAGTAGAATGGCAGATCTCAAGAATCTACAAGTTTTTTTTTTTTACTTCAAATTTGGTCGGCACACAATCTTTTTACCGAAAAATAACCTTAAAAGTGATCCTAAACAATTTTCAGGGGGCAAAATCTAAGTGTTGAAGAATCCAAAATTTTATTTCTTTTGTAAATAGCCATTTTGTAATAGACCGATATGGATCTCTTGTTGGTGCTCATAGAAACAAGTACCAAAGAATAATAAAATTAAGACAAATTTTAGAGGTTCTTTTGAAAAGTTCTTGCAAATATATTATACTAAAGTTCCATCTTCTTCGAAAAAAATTGATTATTTGGAGTTATCTCGAAACTCAAGCTTGAATACTTCCACCTAAAAAATCAAAAGCTTTTTTTGTACAAAACATGATGTTGTGGACAACTTTGCTCACAATGCTTTGGCCAATTAACCATCTCTTTGGATTGGGTTCTCAACTCCAAGAGAGAGAGAGGGACAGAGGGGAAGAGAGAGAGAGGAGGGGGGAGAGGATTCAGGCGAAAGATGACAATTCATCATACGGTTGGGATTAGAATTCAAGCAAATTCCACCATAAGAGAGAGAGAGAGAGTTCATGAAATTCCATTATGAAAAGAGTCCATGAAATTCCATTATGAGGAAGAAAACAGATATTTTAGAGAGAGAGAGAGAGAGTAATGACACTGATAATTCAGGTAAAATCAATCACAAGGAAAACTCATTGACACAGCAGCACAGGGAAAGGGAAAGGCCAAATGACAACCGACAGGACACGACCTTGCGTCCACATTTTGCACATACAAAGTCATATAATCCAAGAACCAGCTACCAATCCATAATGAAAGAGAAAATCGGCTGATTATTCCAAGGAATGTTTCCAGAGAGAGAAAATAGCAAAACATTCAAAAGAGAGAGAGAGAGTGGCAAAACAAAGCTGTTTTTACAGCCTTCCGTATCCATAAACAAAAGGAAAAACAGCCCAGGAAACTGCAATGCCATGAAAACATTTTATAAAGAACAAAAAAAAAGGAAACAGGGGAGCACAAAAGATTCCAAGAATAATAATCACTTCCCCCCTTCTCCACCGTTCCTATCACACTTTCTCTCTCTAACAAAGAATCTCAAAAGCTGGGGCTGTCCCCCCATTATCACTTCTCACGTTATCTCTCTCTACCCAGTTTTTCTCTCTCTTATCTATGAAGAACCAGTGTAAGATGTGACCACCCACATGGGTTTTCAAAAATGGATCCCTGCACTAAAATTCTCAAGCTCCAGACTCTGAACACTACAATAAACTTGCCCCTTCTCTCTCTAAATCAATGTAATTCCTAGAGAGAGAGAGATACGAACAAAAAATACAAAAACAGAGAACAAGAACAGAACAAGACTATCATCCCCATTTATTCCAAAGGATCAATGAGCAGACATTAGATACAAAAAATAATAGAGAGAGGGAGAGAGAGAGAGATCAACTGAGTAAAAAAACAAAAAACACGCTCACTCTGATACAAACCATATGTACTCACTCAATCAAAAAACTCCCAATTCAGCTTTGCAGAGGACGAGGTTGAAGGGGGAGGTGCCGAATCGAAGGTCTCCCATTTTGTGGTCACGACCACGGGGCCCTGACGCTGAGGGATGTGTCCGTTTGGTATGGAGTTGCGTATCTTTAGCATGTCTAGAGTCTCAACATACTTTTGCACTCTCTTCACCTGCACAATTTTTCATTTCATAATATGTTAGTGAGATAGTCCAACCTCTCTCTCTCTC